GGGGCTCCCAGGAAGCTTAGAAATATAATTTTTTGACGGACCTGCGCTCTGATTGGGGCTCCCAGGAAGTTTCGAAATATAACTTTTTGACGGACCTGCGCTCTGATAGGGGCTCCCAGGAAGTTTCGAAATATACATTTTTGACGGACCTGCGCTCTGATAAGGGCTCCCAGGAAGTTTCGAAATATATATTTTTGACGGACCTGCGCCCTGTTAAGGGCTCCCAGGAAGTTTCGAAATACACATTTTTGACGGACCTGCGCTCTGATAGGGGCTCCCAGGAAGTTTCGAAATATAAATTTTTGACGGACCTGCGCTCTGATAGGGGCTCCCAGGAAACTTAGAAATCTAAATTTTTGACGGACCTGCGCTCTGATAAGGGCTCCCAGGAAGTTTCGAAATATAATTTTTTTACGGACCTGCGCTCTGATAAGGGCTCCCAGGAAGTTTCGAAATATACATTTTTGACGGACCTGCGCTCTGATAGGGGCTTCCAGGAAGTTTAGAAATATAAATTTTTGACGGACCTGCGCTCTGATAGGGGCTCACAGGAGGTTTAGAAATATAAATTTTTGACGGACCTGCGCTCTGATAGGGGCTCACAGGAAGTTTCGAAATATAAATTTTCGACGGACCTGCGCTCTGATAGGTGCTCCCAGGAAGCTTAGAAATATAAATTTTTGACATACTTCACCTACATCCTGGCTGTAGTATAACAATTCCTATTTTTTCAGCGAAACTGTGAAACAGGTGTATATCACCAGGTTGTCTCATACCAGTCCACAAATGACAATATCTTAACAGTAATGAAATATTTACAACTAGATATTTTCATACCTGCAAACTGTGATCTACCAAATAAAACATTGAAATAATAATCTACCCTAATGCAATGTTGCCACCTTGTTTCAGTCCTTGATTATTCTTACAGGTTCCACTTTTGAAACCCACATTCTCTCCCTGCATATCGGATCCAAAGTGCAAATTATCAATCTGCAGATTAGAATGTTCAGCCGTGGCTCGTAATCCAAAAATATACTGCGTCATATAGTGACTGTGCATTCCTGTATCATACAGTTTTCATCCTGCTCACGATACCCACCCCATCAGAATTCAGTTTCTTCATTGTGGCGTCATGTGTAGATCAGAAATCGGCAGGCGTAGCTACTTCTTGGTCAGAAAGGTTTAAGTCGTACCGTTAATATTCATCATGAAGATATCTCCATATTCCGACACATGTATTATTCAATGACCTCGTACTTCACATACGAATCTACACATCCAGAAATATAATACTTCACCCGTTATATCCATTGAGAGTGGGGGAATGTATACAATTGTTTCACAACTGTTTACAGTGGTATTTCTTGTACACGCCCAACTATCGAAGAGGTTCCCACACCACCGAATATTCACTGACATGTTTTTCGGGATCTGCGTTCGTTGACATTGTCGAAGTTCATGCTCAGTGACTAACTCACCAAAACGGATATTTTCGTGCTAATTTGTAAGTTTAAAATCTTCTTTATCGTCCAATTCGAACCGTGACGCTAATGAACTCTCGATTTTGCGTTGGAAAGTCTTCCGACTACTCCTCGTTATCCACGGCCGACCCAGTTGTCCAAACGTTCAAAAGCACATGTCTGCAACTGCACGAAAAGGCATGCGCATGCGCATTTATAATTTATTTTCTTCATAAGGGTTACTAAGTACAGCCCCAATCGCGTATAAACAATGATGCTTAAGCACCAAATACAGCACGCGCAATAGGTACAGCGTTTACCACGTTTACAAGCCGCCTTGTGGAGTATTGAAAGTAAAGACGAGAGTCTGACACAGTAGTTCAGTGGAACAGTGGTGTAAACATTTAAAATCTTTTGTATGTCTGTGGCACTGTATTCGATTATTCGACTATGCTCGACAATAATTTGGATTCCCATTTGACAGAACATTCCAACAACGTAAATAATCTAAACCGACCATTCACAGAGTAAGAAATACATGCTTGTTTAAATGATTGAAATCAAATAGGACTCAAGGGCCTTCAGAACTATATGACTCCAACTCAAACTGGATTATTTTTTATATAACATGTTTTCAAGGGCGGACCCGTAGACCCCGTGGATCTCGTAGAACCTCCACTGGATCCGCCTGTGGTTTGACGGTGAAACATCCCGCGCCAGTTGGGAAACTGCCTTACTCTTGCACTTGGGATGGATGAAACATCCCAAATTCGGACATTTATGGATTGTAATTGTGGGAAAAATATAAGTGGCAACTGTTATCGATGCCCAATGCCAGTCACGGGGTCTGATAAAGATATTATCCCAAATGCTCATAAAGCCGATTTACAAAGGTCACTTTCCTCAATACATTTAGTGAACACAAGGGAGACACGAAAGGGAATTTGAACATGGTAATCCATCAGCAATGTGTTTTCTCTGCTAATGCATAAAACAGAACTCCAGAAGAAATTTTGTTCACTTGTTAGTAGAACAATGGACGGAAGTTGTAGTGCACACCACCAGATGTACGTACGTGCTGATTTCAATATTATCATACACGCTCCGAGATGGTCACATAATTGTTGGAGTAATATGTCTGTTTCCACTGCATTGTCACCGCCTCTTTGGTCCAGCGGATCGTGTCTCCTCAGGGTGTGAAAGGTCGGTAGCCAAAAATTATTTGTTTCTCCTAACTCCTTTCGTTTCGGTACCATCATAAAGCAGATGACATATAAAGAAAGGATGGTAGTTTAAGAAACTTCAGTTGTATGGATATTAGGTGCTAAACCAAATTCTAACACTAATTTTGAAATTACATGATTCCGATTGGTCAGTCTGAGGTTTATCAAAATCACTATTAACCACCTATGCTGAAACAGCCGATCTGACGTCCGCATCACCCCGGAAACTAATATTTAAAGAATAGAACTTCATGTTCAGTCATAATCGGCAAGGATTTTAAATAAGTATGAAAATATGTACTATTATACGTTACAAAATGCAAATTTGCGGTTATTACGATATTAAAAGGATGTGTGGCAAAACAAGTTTGGGCAAAAAACACAATGGAAATTGTTTGTTTGTTCTTTAACGCCACACTCAGCAATATTCCAGCTATATCATGACGGACTGTAAATAATTGAGTCTGGACCAGACATTCCAGTGATTGACATCATTAGCATCGATCCACGGAATTGGGATACGATGACATGCATCAACCAAGTCAGCGAGCCTGACCACCCGATCCCATTAGTCGCCTCTTACGACAAGCGTGGTCACATGGGTTGCTTAAGACCTATTCTGACCCGGATCTTCACGGGTACGATGGAAATGAAACATTGAACTGAACCCAGGCTGTTGTACTGAAAATATGTGCTGACCCCATAGAATTCGCATTTTGTTTACTCATGGTAGGGTGGAGATATTCCACTTTTGAACTAGGTAATCTGTAGATATCAAGGCAATCTGTCTGTAGACATCAAGACAATCTGTAGATATCAAGGCAATCTGTAGATATCAAGGCAATAAATTAACAAGTTGAAAGCTCACGCTGAGCTTTGGTTACAAAATCAATTTATCACGGTTCAATCTACAGGTAAAATAAATTGTCAATGCAAGAGAATAACCAGTCTAGATTATCCATCGAAACAGATTCCATCTGACGTAGAGGGTGAAATTGCTGTTACAATTAAATGAATGACCGCGGAAAATCACTGATGATACCACCTGTTTGCGAAAAGGGTAAACGCGTTAAAGCTATTTCCCTAATTCACATGGAGTGAGCTTTACCTTCATTGTCATACAATCAACTGTGATTACTTTATGTGACATATAATAGGTGTTTAATTAGTTACTTAGAGTCTGTCATAAATGATCGGAAAATGCTGTGATTCGAAAGTCAAGAAGTTTAAGCCATGTTCATAATTTGATCTCTAGGGATCTTGACCCTACACGGAGGTCACCCAAAACATGAGGCCATCGAAGCCCTGTTCCAGCGATAATGTCTACCTAATTGTATCAAATTCCAAATTGAATTAAAAATACTCAAGTTGCGGTGTACACAAACTTTAACGTCTGTTCATACTGAGTTACCTTGACCTAGAATGTCATCAAATCATATTTAAGAAAGGAAGCAAACCAGCCAGGGGTATGTTGGATGTGCATCAGGTCCCTGCTAGTAATCATCGGTATACAGCATGAGTGGTGAACGTGCATATATAGGTTGGATAATCCATCGGAGTCTCTAAATTTCACATTTTCTGACTATAACTGATGTTTTTATGGCTACATACACAACAGCCACTCACTTAACAGGTCACCTACATAAACAGGAAGTGACATTCATTCTTAGTGACGAAAGTAATCAAAAAGCGGAAGCAGTGTTAAATCCCGCGAGTCCGGAGCACTCCAGTACGGAAATCATGCTCCCAGACGGGAACATTGATAGTCGTGGTGAAGCTGCAATACTGCTGCCATAAGTCCTCCACTCGTTAAGGAACCATTCATTTGATTTGTATTTTGTTTAAAACAATACATTTTCCCCAGCTGTATTAATCAATTTACTGAGTACCATCAAACAATCTATTCATTTTCACTATTAACAGCAAAACTTTGACGTTCGGGTACTTTCCACAAAACAAACTATTCATGTTTGTTTTCACCACTGCCAATAACGCTGCCTTGATTCCCGGATTTGTTGACAGTGGGTTCGAATATCTAAATAATGATCGTTTGTTAATACCCGAGCACAGTCTGTGCGTAACTTGGGGTGACGACCATAAACCATAATTAACGCAACCTTTTCGCTCACTCATACACTGTAGCACACGCTTCATTTTAGAATCTTGACATGCACAATGTGACATTTAGCTGTTAGATTACTGTACGAAGCGCAGAAATACCCGACAGTAGTATCTGGATGAAGCAGTGTCATCTATTCTCTGTCGATTACCAGTACCTACACGAAGACAATGAAAACACAACTAGACAAAATGATTCATGGTGTAGCTTTATTTCAACAGAGCGCAATCCTGCTACGGAAAGGGACAACAGGGACACTCAATGCATCATCAAAGTGTCACCATGAGAGTGGAAAAACCCAAACATTAATATAACTTTTTAATACCACTTTCCAAATGGAAATACATGCCTCAATGAATTTCTGATCTTTCGATATCCCTCATTTCTCATTGGTCAATGTGATCTTCAGACGGAACGTTCCGCTTTCATTAACAAAAACCAATCAGTAATCAGTGTTACAACAAAACAATTTTAAAAAAATCCAATTTGCGCTTTCCCACCAATTTTTAAAAGGTAATTATAAATAATCATAATCTAGCAAGAAAAAAACAACCATTTGAAAACAGACTGATATAAGTTTCAATAATCTGAGTTTATATATATGATACTGACAGCATGGTTGTAACAATACAAATGGACGGAGGATGGTAAATGTTGCATATAACAGAGAAACTATATTCTTAAATATTCTTTGGCACTTTCAGATCACAGCAAACCACAAACAAAAGGATGAGGACATATTCCTTCCTGCTTATGTAAAGGTAGAGCAGATACCTGACGTATTGAATACATATTTTTTTTATATTCGACATTTTGCATTTTCGGTAATATATGAGAGATAATGTCATTTGTGAGCCTTTAGAAGAAGGCAGTAACCAGGGGCAGCAGCAGCATCAGCAACAGCAGCGAGGCCATGGAGGAACTATCTACTCTGATGCCTGCAGGAAAGTATGTGCATGTAAAACATTAAAGTTAGCCAGAAACTGTTTTATTGTGCAAATGAATATATATACTCCTTTAATGCTGCAATATTTGAGACGGTTTTGAATGTTTTGTGCCGAATTATTCCAATGACCTTCAACCATGTATGCAAGTGGTTAATGGTGTTGTAAAAATACATCAACAGATTACGTAATCAGTAAGAGGGTGGAGTCAGGATAATATCAACTCACAAACCCAGAACTCACCTGTGGAACAGAAAGAGGTTATGAAAGGGGCAGACACGCTCGTCTTCAACACCTCCTTGAGGGTGGTTCCATCACAGGCGGCCTGAGTAGTTGCAGTGATGGCCCCTACACAGGTGGAGAGAGCATTGGCTGCACTATAGTCCAAGGGGAGAAAACAGAAAGTGTTATGTTCCAGTCAAACACATTTCACATGTAAGCTGAAGGAAAATCGTTATGGTCCTGACAAACCTGATACACTAAAGATTCCTTATCTATGTCAAGCAAAATGTCCTTTTCACAAATAGGTTTAAGAAATTATCTTTTCAGGTTTATTTCGGACAATCTCCTATCCTGCCTCCATGCAACGTTGTAGAAACTGTTGCAGTACTGACAACACCTAGCTGTCATTGGCAGCACAGGGGCATTTCCTTCGGCATAAAAACCTGCTTACTGTTCGTACAGCAATTTAAAAGGATTAAGTTTATTTAATTTAAAGCGACTACCCATAAACATAAACAAAATATAGAAAGTTGCTGATATCATTTTGTCGATGAGGGAAAAAACACAAAACTTCCCCATTCATCAGCCACAAGTTTGCCAGTCAGCTTGTCAGAAAACTACGTACGACAATAACCGTTGTGTTTGTAAGGTTCTTATTGTGTTACGTTCTTTTGTTGAATCGATTTGTAGGTGCATTTACGAAAATATATCTTTGTCTTCATTACCTGCACTTGTTGGTGTTAGTACTGACATCGGCTTTGTTGAAATTGATCTGACACTGACAGGCATCGGTGATAGCTGATGAGAGAAGATGAATCATGCATTATAAATAGCAAAGATATTAAAAAAATTATATTTGAACATATCAATGTACTCACATTTCTTGTAATATTTCTGTCGCAAACAAAGCTTTTCAGGAAGAATTCTTAAACAAAGTCTTCTTTACATATCACGTTACACAAGCACAGGAACCAAGGGAGCAACATGATGTAATAAGAATATTTGGACCTCAATTTTGCCACTCTGTGGCATCAAAATCAATTTTAGCTTTCAAGATTGACAAGACTTCCTTCAATGAGAACTTTCCACGTTTGTCCGCTATACTTACGACATGCTGTCGATCCAATGTCTGTGAACGCTTCCTGTGCCTTGGTGCCAATACTTGCTCGTGTTGCCATGGTTCCACAGCCATTGTTCAAAGATTCGTCAATGCATGTGCTCAGAGTCTTTGTCTCACTGGACAATGCAGATGGTGAAAATGTTACTAAGCGTGGTTACCATATATATAGTTACATCTCTGTCCGCAGACGATCAGGAAATTTGTCAATATGAATGTAAATGTCACAAAACAACTATTGATCAAACCATGTGTAAAATGCTGGACTTCTTCATTGATAACATCTATGTGATATATAGAGGTAAGACATTTAGGCAAGAAGTAGGCATCCCCATAGGCACACTTCTTACTGATCAGTTTATAAAGCGTCTTATATATCGAGGATCTGATATCGTTCAACAACGGTCAAATAGCCAATTCAATTCCACTGATTTACCCCCCTTAACTAGAAATAGAACCAGGGAACTGCCTCATCTGTTTCACATTTAGATCTGTCCTTTTAAGATTCGGAGTGACAAAAAACTCTCAACACAACCGTATGGCAAGACTGATGACTTCAACTTTCCAATCATCAACTTTCTCTTTATGGCAAGCAATCTTGTAGCACTCCAGCCTTTAATGTCTACATTTTACAATCGAACAATCTCTTTCCAAGAGCATCATATTGCTCAAATGTTGATGACGGTTACAACATCCAAGCCCTGAGCAATTTTTTTACAAAGTTTTGTGGTATACATTTGGAGGATATTTTTCAAATTTGAAGTGACAAAAATGATATCCATGCAGTTCCCTATGATGATGTATGCCATATGTTACCACGTTTCTGTCAGATAAACAGTTGACTTGACTTTGCATGTGTTTATGACGACTGTTACAGGTGGGGAACACCTGCTATCATCACTATTTAATAGTGATTCATAAACACATGCTCATGATATGAGATGTACAATGATCTGCTTTCAGTAAAGCTTTTTTTAGGATTATCGCTTTCTAATTATGTATATAGAAATTGATTATATTAGAAACAATGTGAATATTGTCCTGTCCCAACCGACTTCGTAATTAAATATGAACATCAGCGCATGTAGTGTACTTACGTGCACGTTTTGGTGTTATCACTGATGTCGGCCATAACATAGGCGATCTCGCAGTCACAGTTGCTAGTCTTGGCTACGTTGAAATAAAGACGACATTCCATTTTAATGAAAAATATGATATAAAGCTTCTTACAATATACCACAAAAGGATATATTGCTTATTTTACACAAAAAATATTCAAGGAAGCGCTATACAATTCATGAAGCTTCACTAAGGTTAACCCGAAAAGGAGCATACATTGATGGCAATTTGTGGCGATATCTTCATCGAAACCATGAATGACCCTATCTGTGTGTATATTATTGAGGGATACTCTGTTATACATACGACAAACGGTTGCACCAAGTGTTGTAATAGATGAACTAGTTGCGGAGGCCAAACTGCGAAGAGTAGTTGATCCGTCACATCCGGTTCCGGTTTTACCCAGAAGGCAACTAGCAAGGTTCTTCAGCGCCCTGGAGAAAAGGAAGCCTTTATTAAATACACATATATACACATGTATAAAGTAGATATGTGGCATAATTATAAAGCAGTCGGCTATACCCTTATCCCGGTGTTATTTCATAACCATCGGGTAAGTGATTTTCGTAGCTTCTGTAACAGCAGCAATATCCTCGTGATGGAGATAAACATCGGCTCCGAATAAAATATCCATATGCGGTATCGAACATTAGTCTTGCAAGCTTTTAGAATAATATAGTATGCATATGTTCTTTATCGATAGTGTCCAAAGCTTTTTGTAAGAGCCAATTAAAAATACGGGTGTGGCTGTTTATCTAATATGTATCATGTGTTCGTCTGTCTTAAGCATCAGTGATTCACAAGCCGTTGTGATGTAGCCTGTGACAGTGTTTACCGAAGCGAAACAAGTGTTTTTTCTCTAGTTGCTATGACCAAAAGAACAATGGTTTTAATATGATATGTTTATGTTAACACTCGACACTTACGTGCACTTCTTGGTATTATCGCTGATGTCTGACTTTGCATATTGTACGTCACAGTAGCATGCCGTGTTAACAAGGGCTGAAACAATGTAAACAGTTCATGTTTAAAAAAGGGTTTTAAATCTCTCTTTTGAAGTGAATCCGGAATTGGGTTTGAAAAGTGATCGGTAACTCTTTGAAGTACTCGACTGTATCTTCAACAATGCCACAGAGACGTAATGACTTGTTCCCGTTACCCGATAGTTATTGATCATATGAATAAAAAATGCATGATCTGAAGGTCGTGGTCCCAAATCAAACGAGTATGAGCAAGCGAGCAGTCACTAGTCTACTGCTGACTGGCACGTCGAAATTAAAGTCGGGTGACAAATGTGTTACGTACTGCATGGAGTTCCAGTGATTGCATTAATAGTGCTCTCTGCTGCTGTTGCGAGGGCCGCCACTGCTGTTGTCGCGTCACAACCAGTCCCTGTCTTGTCCTTCAGACAATTCACGTACGCCTTTGTTTCTCTGCAAATTGGGAATCAGGTCCACAAGTACGTTTCAAGTATCAAACACAGTTGATTAATAGATATAGCGTATATAAGGTAAATTAGTACTCACGGTACTATTATTGTAAGATAGTCCTCTGCTTTTTGTATTGAATTTTCATAAATAAACGTAAGCATGATGATAGCAAAAGCTCGTAGTTAGGATATTCCTAGTGTGTTTTCAATGTGGAGGTTTAGAAGGTAGGTGCGATGCCCATACATTTCATGCGATTTGAAGTTCGAAACCTTGACACTGAAAAATACACTAGGTGTATCTCTAATCTGCCATGACACAATGACGAAACAAACGCAAACCCTTTGGTCACAGCGGATGTGGCATCGGCTGAACCTAATATTTTTAGTATTGAAAGGTCGAATTAAGGTATCTGTGAAGATCGGATTTAACATGCATACATGTTTGCTTTATGTGCCGAAACCATACATTTCATTACAATACTTGAACCACTTCAACGAGACATACTATTTTCATTTAGCAGATCACCTGCAAGCAACTCTCAAGCTGATATCGCAAGAAAGAATGAAGAGATATTTGTAACGTTTTGTTCTATTGTACACACAACTATTATGAATAAAGTTGTACAGATGGGAAATCTAAGCATTGCGGCGCGGTAGAAATGGCCTCACACTACGCGATAAAATAGTGCCGAAAGTAAATCCGTGTTGATGTTAATCGATCTTACAATACATGTATTTGTTCGTCAAGTGTTGCATCTGAAATGTATTACGACATTTGCTGTAAATAATTAGGAACCACTATATGTTGTTTGGCAACATAATAAAGTAAGATATTGCCAAACGATTTGTTTGTGAAAGAAGTGTTTCCAAATAAATATTTTCTTTCGTGGTAATGCGGTTCGCATCAAAATCATGGTCAAATGTTGATTCTATGCCGATTTCGGACCAATCAGAATTCAGGATTCAAAATATTTATGGTAGAATCAATCGGAACTGTCATTAAACGCTGTAATCATAATTTAATACCTTATTGAAATTATCAAGCGTCTTTATATTACCAATTTTATATGTTTGTAAACAGTCAAGTAATAACAGAAAACCAAATCGTTTCAGTTAAAGTGGTGATACACTCTACTTTCTGGTTGTTTACTTCAGGAAGTCTGTACAAATAACAATATCGAGCCAGTTGTACGTTAAAAAACTGGCACCGCGCTCGTCAAGCCTGTCTCCTCAGATTTCCTAGGTGAAGACATGACATTAGACATTTCCCTCTGTTAATTAAGCAAATAATGAATACCTGATAGTAAAGTGAATACAAGCCATTTTGGCATCTTGAGCTGAATTGAGAGTGCTCACTAATTCGATGACTGGGGTCAAAATGCCATGCCCTTGAATGTTGCCGTATGTAAGTGTAAAATGGTACACACGTGCATTTGGTGACATCACTGCTTCTGTCAGCCTTGCCATAAGTCGCTTCACATTCACATGCCGTACTTGTTATGGCACCTGTCGAAGAAGAATTGGGATCTCATTTTTACATCCACCACTTCAAATCCGAAGGATAATTTTTAGGATGAGTGAGTGAATTGTATTTGGGTAACCGTGATCATTATATATATTGGTGCTTTTCTTACTATAGGTGTCATTGTTTACATGTTCAAAGTGTACTTATATGTATACGTTTAAGAAGTACTCATCTCTGTTGGTGTCTGGCATATATGAAGTGAAGAGAAGTGACACGCAATGACATACAATGAAGAGTCAATAGTATGGGGTCATTTGAAATACAGCATCTGACACAAAGTACACATGTAAATTGCTTAAGTATATATTGTCCTTATTGATAAAATATAACTTATGAGCAAGAGTGTGAATGAAGTCAAATATGATATGATTGTGAAAGAAGGTAACTCACTGCACACAGCTGTAGTAAGACCAGTGATGGTTCCTTCAGCGGCGGTGATCAAGGCAGACACGGTCGAAGTGCCGTCACATCCAGTTCCACTCTTATCTTTCAAACAGCCTATATACTTCTTGGCTTCACTGCACAGACATGATCAGAGTGAAAGTTTCCCATCACATTAAGAAACACCACAGCCCTGTCAGCCCTGTCAGAATAATATAGTATGCATATGTTCTTTATCGATAGTGTCCAAAGCTTTTTGTAAGAGCCAATTAAAAATACGGGTGTGGCTGTTTATCTACATGTATCATGTGTTCGTCTGTCTTAAGCATCAGTGATTCACAAGCCGTTGTGATGTAGCCTGTGACAGTGTTTACCGAAGCGAAACAAGTGTTTTTCTCTAGTTGCTATGACCAAAAGAACAATGGTTTTAATATGATATGTTTATGTTAACACTCGACACTTACGTGCACTTCTTGGTATTATCGCTGATGTCTGACTTTGCATATTGTACGTCACAGTAGCATGCCGTGTTAACAAGGGCTGAAACAATGTAAACAGTTCATGTTTAAAAAAGGGTTTTAAATCTCTCTTTTGAAGTGAATCCGGAATTGGGTTTGAAAAGTGATCGGTAACTCTTTGAAGTACTCGACTGTATCTTCAACAATGCCACAGAGACGTAATGACTTGTTCCCGTTACCCGATAGTTATTGATCATATGAATAAAAAATGCATGATCTGAAGGTCGTGGTCCCAAATCAAACGAGTATGAGCAAGCGAGCAGTCACTAGTCTACTGCTGACTGGCACGTCGAAATTAAAGTCGGGTGACAAATGTGTTACGTACTGCATGGAGTTCCAGTGATTGCATTAATAGTGCTCTCTGCTGCTGTTGCGAGGGCCGCCACTGCTGTTGTCGCGTCACAACCAGTCCCTGTCTTGTCCTTCAGACAATTCACGTACGCCTTTGTTTCTCTGCAAATTGGGAATCAGGTCCACAAGTACGTTTCAAGTATCAAACACAGTTGATTAATAGATATAGCGTATATAAGGTAAATTAGTACTCACGGTACTATTATTGTAAGATAGTCCTTCTCTGCTTTTTGTATTGAATTTTCATAAATAAACGTAAGCATGATGATAGCAAAAGCTCGTAGTTAGGATATTCCTAGTGTGTTTTCAATGTGGAGGTTTAGAAGGTAGGTGCGATGCCCATACATTTCATGCGATTTGAAGTTCGAAACCATGACACTGAAAAATACACTAGGTGTATCTCTATTCTGCCATGACACAATGACGAAACAAACGCAAACTCTTTGGTCACAGCGGATGTGGCATCGGCTGAACCTAATATTTTTAGTATTGAAAGGTCGAATTAAGGGATCTGTGAAGATCGGATTTAACATGCATACATGTTTGCTTTATGTGCCGAAACCATACATTTCATTACAATACTTGAACCACTTCAACGAGATATACTATATTCATTTAGCAGATCACCTGCAAGCAACACTCAAGCTGATATCGCAAGAAAGAATGAAGAGATATTTGTAACGTTTTGTTCTATTGTACACACAACTATTATGAATAAAGTTGTACAGATGGGAAATCTAAGCATTGCGGCGCGGTAGAAATGGCCTCACACTACGCGATAAAATAGTGCCGAAAGTAAATCCGTGTTGATGTTAATCGATCTTACAATACATGTATTTGTTCGTCAAGTGTTGCATCTGAAATGTATTGCGACATTTGCTGTAAATAATTAGGAACCACTATATGTTGTTTGGCAACATAATAAAGTAAGATATTGCCAAACGATTTGTTTGTGAAAGAAGTGTTTCCAAATAAATATTTTCTTTCGTGGTAATGCGGTTCGCATCAAAATCATGGTCAAATGTTGATTCTATGCCGATTTCGGACCAATCAGAATTCAGGATTCAAAATATTTATGGTAGAATCAATCGGAACTGTCATTAAACGCTGTAATCATAATTTAATACCTTATTGAAATTATCAAGCGTCTTTATATTACCAATTTTATATGTTTGTAAACAGTCAAGTAATAACAGAAAACCAAATCGTTTCAGTTAAAGTGGTGATACACTCTACTTTCTGGTTGTTTACTTCAGGAAGTCTGTACAAATAACAATATCGAGCCAGTTGCACGTTAAAAAACTGGCACCGCGCTCGACAAGCCTGTCTCCTCAGATTTCCTAGGTGAAGACATGACATTAGACATTTCCCTCTGTTAATTAAGCAAATAATGAATACCTGATAGTAAAGTGAATACAAGCCATTTTGGCATCTTGAGCTGAATTGAGAGTGCTCACTAATTCGACGACTGGGGTCAAAATGCCATGCCCTTGAATGTTGCCGTATGTAAGTGTAAAATGGTACACACGTGCATTTGGTGACATCACTGCTTCTGTCAGCCTTGCCATAAGTCGCTTCACATTCACATGCCGTACTTGTTATGGCACCTGTCGAAGAAGAATTGGGATCTCATTTTTACATCCACCACTTCAAATCCGAAGGATAATTTTTAGGATGAGTGAGTGAATTGTATTTGGGTGACCGTGATCATTATATATATTGGTGCTTTTCTAACTATAGGTGTCATTGTTTACATGTTCAAAGTGTACTTATATGTATACGTTTAAGAAGTACTCATCTCTGTTGGTGTCTGGCATATATGAAGTGAAGAGAAGTGACACGCAATGACATACAATGAAGAGTCAATAGTATGGGGTCATTTGAAATACAGCATCTGACACAAAGTACACATGTAAATTGCTTAAGTATATATTGTCCTTATTGATAAAATATAACTTATGAGCAAGAGTGTGAATGAAGTCAAATATGATATGATTGTGAAAGAAGGTAACTCACTGCACACAGCTGTAGTAAGACCAGTGATGGTTCCTTCAGCGGCGGTGATCAAGGCAGACACGGTCGAAGTGCCGTCACATCCAGTTCCACTCTTATCTTTCAAACAGCCTATATACTTCTTGGCTTCACTGCAGAGACATGATCAGAGTGAAAGTTTCCCAACACATTAAGAAACACCACAGCCCTGTCCCTCGAATTAGGTTCGACATTGGGGGAGACATACATGAGCAGAAACATAAGAGCTAGTGTGCAGAGCTTTCGTGTGGTAGTGATGCAACTGAGGTTGGTTTCTTAATCAAAGTCGGAGCCTGTAACTCTTTTGACAATAATAAATATGGACGGTCGATAAGAAACACTACACAGGTTGGTTGGTTGGTTGGTTGGTTGGTTGGTTGTTTAATGCCGTACTCAGCAATAGTCCAGCTATATGACGGCGTTCTGTAAATAATCGAGTCTGGACCAGATAATCCAGTGATTGACATCATGAGCAATTGAGCATCGATCCACACAATTGGGATCGATGACATGCATCAGCCAAGTCAGCGAGCCTGACCACCCGATCCCGTTAGTCGCCTTTTACGGCATGCATGGGTTGCTGAAGACCTATTCTAATCCGGATCTTCACGGGTCCACTACACAGGTAAAATCATTAGTGTTACAACACATGTTCCAATTACACAATGTACGCTATATGATTGAGAGTCAATCGGAGTATTTTGATTCTGCAGAAACACGTATTGTCATAATTATATTCAAATGTTTATGTTTATTTAATACGTTAAAATACCGTCAGAAACATAAAGAAGAGGAATATGGGTGCGACCATAGCTTCCATTCATCCAAGTTGTTAATTTCCAAAACGGAATCATTCACTAAATTCTTGCTAAAAAGTATATTCCGGAATCACAAATCGGTTATCCTTGATAGCTATACGCTGGTAACCTTGAATAACTAACGGTAACACCATTGGGTCGACTTGGGTAAATGTTGTCATATTACAGAGATAAAACTATTCCTAATTGTGATATCCTCATGTATATAATTAAAATTGATAAATATAATAATACAAAGTTTGATTATTTTAGAAGTCTTAGTCTCTATACGTCCGTTCCGTTTCGCCTGCTCCAAGCTTGTGACAGGAACGTTCAAATATTGAAACAAAATCATTTTATCAAGATGGATTTAAAAGTATACCAACAGAAAATATAAGCTTATGTCTAATATGTCCTGCATATGAGTCTGGTTCACATTGAAACACCTTTCATGGCGCTAGTGACGAGAAATATGAAATGACTTTGGTTTGACCGAAGAATATAACTTACGAGCACTTCAGGGCATCGGTACTTATGTCAGCTTTGGCATAGGCTAGCTCGCAACCACAGGCAGTATTTGTCACAGCTGTAAAACAAAACCACGGTGTTCATCTGAACTGTTTGGAAGATATATTATTGTACATAATGTCCTGTGGTCGTTATCAATTATTGACATTATTTGTCTTAAGATTTACTCAATACGGAGATTCCATAAAGCTGTTCAACGTACCAGCGCATCCGGAAATAGATGTAATGCTGCTTTCAATACTTGTAACAAGAGCTGTAACTGTTACGCCCGCACATGCCGTACCCGTTAGCGTCTTCAGGCAACCGCCAAGTTTCTTGGTTTCTCTAGAGAAGCAAGAGTAGGGGAAAACCTAGCGATCTTAAGAGTTGATAAATTACATTCTATACTTATTGCAAATGTTTGTACATGATTGGTTGGTGGTTCTGCTTTTGTCATTTGTTACTTATGCAATACAATAGGTTATAAGTAATCAATCTATTTTCTTTTATGTGTAATACATTATGTGCCTGGAAAAACTGTAAGTAATGTACATACGCGCATAACTTGGTGTTGTCGCTTCTGTCCGCCTTGCCAAACGTTGATTCACACCCACATGGGGTGCCGGCAATAGCACCTGCAGATAGTAAGAAAGTGTTTTGAAAGTTATCATAAATATATTCTTCTTCATCACTTGCTAATTATTCACAGCGAGAAGTCGTGCAGCACGTGAAAAAAGGCAAGTGACCTGTTATGTATTTCATTAACATACTGCCGAAGTGTGTGAGTAGGACTATTGCAATGATGAAGCCATTACACGCATCTTTGTCTTTTACTGCACATAAGTTGAGAAGCGAATCTTGCTTGTGACCAGTGATCGCATCTGCAACGTTGAACGTTCTTAATAGGCTGTTTGGAACTCATAGCAGGTATTGTGTTTGCTAAGGAGATCCATGGGGAAAGGGTCATTCTAAGTGACGTTTTAACTTCATGGACAGTACATAATTCTGGGGGGGGGGGGGGGGGGGGGGGGGGGGGCGGTCATTTGAAGAAAGCACACTTAACAAGTGCAATAAGTACTCCTGCATACTTATTACCCTTGAAGATAAGCACCCGTTTCTATATCCATAAAATATGACGTATGAGTAAGAAGTGTGAATGAAGTCGAAAATGATATGATTACGAAAGAAGGCAACTCACTACACACAGATGTAGTAAGACCAGTAATGGTTCCTTCAGCGGCGGTGATCAAGGCAGACACGGTCGAAGTGCCGTCACATCCAGTGTCTGTCCTTTCCTTCAAACAGCCGATGTACGTCTTAGCTTCACTACACAGAGGGAATAAGATGGAGATGATAACAACACAATAAACATCGTCGCAGTCATTGTCTACACCAATACCAAATATAGCACAAGCCTATATACATAGCACCATGGCCAATATGGTTAGGGCTTCCATGTTTTAAAACAAATATGGTTGTAGAACATAACAAAAATACATCATAGCCATCATTATAAGTATGCTAGTTCTTTGTAAAAACAAAGACTACATGGATCATATTTACGTGTAAGACCTGCACATTTGTAAACTGATAGAACAATGTTTGAGATGTGGGCTTCAAAATAATATTCAGAATTCTGCATTTGTTTACTCTTACGTTCCTCCGTTCCTCTGACCTCTGTTCAACACTCACGGGGTTTTAGATGCCTCATCTTCTGCATTTTTCAACCAAAATCAATTAAATGTTAACGAATAAGGTTTATGTAAACATCAAACTTACGAGCACTTCAGGGCATCGGTACTTATGTCAGCTTTGGCATAGGCTAGCTCGCAACCACAGGCAGTATTTGTCACAGCTGTAAAACAAAACCATGGTGTTTGGAAGACATGATGTTGTCATGCGTTAGGCCAAGATGCGATTTAGTCTATGGTCCTGATATATAGATAAATCACACACGCAACACACAACATTAAATAAACGTACAATTGCGTTACGGATTTTGCAGGAATAATGTCGACACACTTACTGCAACCTGCCAAGTTGGTGATTATTGTTTCTGTAGTTGTGGCTAAGGCTACCACCGTTGTCGATCCATCACATCCTACGGCCTCTTCAGTTTTGAGGCAGGATGCCCGAAGCTTTGCAGCGCTGATATATACAAATATAGTATCAAAACACGTCTTTTGCTCATGAATGTATGATGAACTGGATAATTTCATATGGTGAAAACTTTGGTAACGACACGTACGTACTTTATGAAAAGTAAACAGACAACTTTATTAATAGAATGGATAAGAATTTATAGATAATATATCGTGTAAGTGACCATACACATGGCGGTGAGTTGTATGTTCTGGCATGGAGGATTATCTTATATGATTTAACGCATTCAATCCCTATATCAAGTTCTTGTATAATAAGACCTATAGTTCCATCTAGAATTGCGTTTGCACAAGGCTACATACAGTTTCCACCTGATATATCATGATCCCGATTATAGGTCGTGCGTACAAGGATGTCCACTTATCATCATGGCTGACATTATCATATTGCTGAAAAACCGCATGTCTACTTACGTGCAGTCGCCTGGACTTGAACTTAAATCGGTGCCCCAATAATCCTTCTGACATGTACAAGAGTCGGTCAGTGCTGATGAGCAAATAAAAAGTACGATTCATTATTTTAGAAATGTGATTGGCTAGATGTTGAAATCCCATAAACTGACTAGATTGACCGTGGACAAGATGAACATGTAACTGATGTTGGAGCTGAAGATTTTCCTCTCTTCTGTCGACTGGTATGGTATGCGACATACTATACCACTCAGACTGGGATGAGGATATTCCTTCTACCTCAATGCTTGCAATACGCAAATGAAATAGTATGATGTACGTCATTATCCATATGACATGTTAAGTTCCCTTTCTTTGTATAACATCAGTTAAAATAGTGATATGTATTTTAATGGACATCAGTTTAATACATACTGCAGCCTGCGAAGGATGTGAAATCGCTGAGTATTTTGGCAGCTTGAACAGTGGTCAGCGGGCAACCGGGGGTTGTTCCAGTTTCCAGACAGGTAAGATAGCCCTTCAAGAGGCTGTTGAAAATGTCAAATTTCTTTGAATTACTTACGTGTATACTGAGCGAAAACCTAAAGCAATCTACATGAAAATTCTGAAAGGGTTTTAATAAATACAATGCACAGTCAGTTACTCGAGTGCCGGTGTAAAGTCTGAAAGTATACCCCCTCCCCCCTTCAAAGTCTACCTGGGTAGATTCTGGGAGCTCACAGAATCTACCACAGGGTATAACCTAGGAGCTCCCAGAATCTACCACAGGGTATAACCTAGGAGCTCCCAGAATCTACTACAGCCCTGTTTGATTAAAAAGATATTTCATGAATGTACGTGAATTTTTCTTTTTTGGGATGCATCTAACTCAGCCTTGATCTCTTCTGGTCAGTTGCTGTAACAACATTGTCATCTGATTAAGTTTTACATAAATGCCTATTCAGTACACAATTAGTTTTAAAACCTTCATATCCTTTTAATTTGAGAAGACAAAGGTGGGAGCACCAGTTTTTCCAAACAGTAATCATAATTAAAGAAATCTCACATGTGAGATGAGAATGTGACTCATTTGAATAGGTTATACAAATGCATATATAAATGCAAAGGTACCGATGTTATCCACTTTTAATTATGGATGATCAAGTTTATGACGACGTTTTGATTCATGTAATAATTGGATATTGGTTTTCAGAATAAAATTGCTTTATATTTATGTTAGTTTTCTCTATTTGTTATTGATAATAATATAAAAACTCTGACTAAGATAGTGACAATTGCTCCGTGAAATTTACTACACCCATCTGACTATATTAAGAAGAATAAGAATGTAAATGGACAAATGATTAGATGCTTTTAATGATGTGATGTCTTCTATAGTCAGAACACATTACTGAAACTGTGATACATGCCTCCCCAAACAAAGGTACTTACAGACACAAGCGCATACTTATATTTGGTTTCAAAATGATTTTATATGCAATCCAAAGCAGTTAGGTCTATTCACTAAGCATAATTTATTAAGACATTTCCTCACACAATTCTCAACACCAACTTTCGAACTTATAAATTGATGATGACTACAATGAGTTGAAGTCAGAGTGATTTGTAAGATACTTTATTATTAGTATAAATAATATTTATTTCTTCTTTGCTTGTATAAAACAACATTTTGAATTTTTGAACAATTTATCATTAACTACACCGGGGTAGATTCTGGAAACTCTAGGATTATATCCCTTGGGGGTAGATTCTGGGAAAGGGGGTTAGATTCTGGGAAGTCCCCAAAATCTACCCCCGGGGTAGCTCCCAGAATTTACCCGGGTATACTCTGAAGGAGCTAGATTTCGGCAGCTTACACCGGGTATTGACGCTGTCTAAAAGTTTTGTGACGCGTTACATGAGGGAGGAGAACATGTTTCTGACTAAACGAACATTTAATAGATAATACGAAAGGTGCACAAGCACACAATTGCCAAATATGCGTTTGCATACTCATAATAAGCGAAATAAATCAAGCCGCAAAGGCACGTAAAATGAACACGGCTTCGGGAATAAAACCTGTTGAAAATTAGTACATCATGGATACTATTATCTCCTATATATATGCACTGAATTTGTAACTTAATTTTCACCTCTGGGACAGTGCTTGAAATAAACTGACGTCCAAAAGAAGTGTATTGAGAAGATCAGTATATCAACATAATCAACACTGAAAATGACAATCATACCGCGACCGAGAATGACGTCAGAGCCCCCCAATGTTGGGTGTGGTACAAAACTCTAGCTTTCAGAATCATGGACAATAGGCAGAGTACATAAACAATCGCTCACGTTCAGTAAGAAGTCATTAGTAGCGTGTGTGATCACCAATGCCTCAATACACGCAAAAACTCTTCGACGTACAGAAAAAGTCAGTCGTCTGATGAGGTCACGTGGGATTTGACGCCATTCGTCTTGGAGGATCAAGATCAGTTTTTGCCGGTTGGCTGGAGAGAACACGACGATCCATCAAGTCCAAGAGGTGTTCTATGGGGGACATGTCGGGTGAGCGTGCAGGCCACGGCAGGACCTTGACGTTGTTGGCTGCGAGGAAGTTAGTGACAATTCTGGCTGTATGGGCTCTAGCGTTGTCATGCTGATAAATGACACCACGTGGCTGCTGTTGGAGAAATGATAGGACAACTGGACGAAGAATGTTATCCATGTACCGCTGAGCTGTCAAGTTTCCGTCAACGATGACCAGTGGTGTCCTCTCCTGCCCACTGATCCCTCCCCACACCATGACACTCCCTCCACCATATGGTACGACCTCCTGCACGCAACACGCCGCCGTTCGTTCACCCCTTCGGCGGTAAACGCGTTGTCTTTCATCAGCCCTTAACATACAGAATCGACTTTCGTCAGTGAAGACAACCCTCTGCCAGTCACGTCGTTGCCAACGTCGTACAGTCCGGGCCCATCTCAATCGCAGGCGACGATGCTGCGCTCTCAATAGCTGGCCTCTGTATGGTCTAAAAGCCCTGATTCCATGAGCCCTGAGTCTCCTGGCCACAGTCTGTCGACTAACCCTGTGACCTAAGGCATTTGTCGCCGATGACATCACTGCAAGGTACGCAAGTACCGGTCATCATGGGGCGTGGTCACTCTGGGTCTGCCTGTTCTTGGCCTGTCAGCGGTCCGCTCTGTCTGTCTGTAACGTTGCATCAAGTTGGTAACGGCAACACGGGAGCAACCGAAGGTTCGTGCAATATGGGCGTTGGTGGCTCCCATCTGTACCATACCCAAGGCTCGTTCACGTTGTTCGACTGTGGGTCGTGGCATTTCTTTTGTGTTTTTTTATCACTGTGGATGTCTGACTTGCCGTTGCAATCGTTTTATATCCTTACCCGCACGTGCATTTGCAGTTGTCCGTGGTGCGCGTGTTTTTCACTTTTCCTCGTGTTATCTCGCAAACATGTAACAGACGATTTACATTTTCTGCATACACTATTGTTGTATTTAGGTTATGTGTTTTAGATAGACTTCATCGAAAAAAATGTTATACTTTGTCTGAAATTTATATTTTCAGTTGGTAAAGATTCTTTTGGACGTCGATTTATGTCTGACAGGCAGGATAAAGACAATTTATGAAAATTAAGTATATCCTCCATAGACCAATTACAGTATTCAGCTGTTTTGGGAAAATTGTGTATTTAACACTCGCCAAACAAATTTCCAAGATGGGAAACCACAGAAACCTGATCGTCAGATCAGGCGGACTTTCAAAACCATTTTATGACAAATATATATAATTCAAATAACATTCTCGTTCTAAACATGCTTATGCAGGTTGTAAAACTATCAAGGAAAAATGATTTGTGCAATTAATCGATTTTACTTCGGCGTTTGACAACACTGTTTGAAACCCGAGCCAGGTATAAACGGCAGAAAGTGCATTAGAGGTAAATTTCTAACATTGGTTAAAATATATTTAACAACATAAAATCACCGATGCCAGCAAATAATGTGTCGTCTGTGACTACTTCCCTTGCCTAACTGATGTCAAGCAGGAAGAAAACCTGTCATCTCATTAATCAGCGAACCTGGCTCAATCTGTTCTATTTTTTTAAGAATTGCAAAAATATTCTTTACAATTATTGTATTAATTCGTAACTAAATGTCAACATGAGTAAAATACAAATAATTCTTTTGGAGGTCCCATCTCAAAGTCCAGACATATAATCTTTTATTTGATGAAAATAGTTTAATATAGGATCGTTGATAGCTAATCGTAACTATGAATTGACCTGAACAAGAACAGCCTGTTTCAAGAGCCTCTATATATGAAAATATGTAAATGTGTTATATCTTTCTGGCATAAACTTTTGAAAATAGTTCTACAAAATTATTTCGCATTTTGCTCACTTTTATTTTTTTAAAAGACAGAAATACATTGAGGAAAACAATTTTAAGCCATGTCGTTTACTAGCAGAAATAAGGTTGTGAGAAATCTTATCATATATTTTGTACACTTAGCATGCAAAATTTAAAAAACAGCGTTACATGTAAATATGTTACATTTCAACTTGTTACATTTTTAACTAGAATTCGTGAAGATATCAACTTACGTGCATTTTGCAGCGTCATCGGCTGCTGTACCAAGACCAGTTTCGTATGTTGTCTCGCATACCGCACACGTGTCGGCGTGAATGTATGCGAAAAGCCCTGGCGAGAAAAAAAGACGTCATGGTATATTCTCATTTTGACACTAAACAGGCCAATAACACATTTACAACTTAAATCTTTGACCAGAGAAAAGGTGCCTATCAAATTAGGATTCCTATATTTTTGTATTGAAGTCGTAAGAAACTTTGTGTGACACATAAATCATATTGTACAGTGTGGGTCAATCTGGTAGTGGGCGTTTCTCTCAATTAGACACTGACGATGACTCAATTTCCACCATCACAACATCTAGACCTTGACAAGTTCCCACATAACACCAATACAACATATAGACCTTGACAAGTTCCCACATAACACCATTACAACATCTAGACCTTGACAAGTTCCCACATGACACTCATTACAACATATAGACATTGACAAGTTCCCACATTACAATCATTACAACATATAGATCTTGACAAGTTCTCACATAACATCAATACAACATATAGATCTTGACAAGTTCCCACATAATATCAACACAACATATAGACCTTGACATGTTCCCACATAACACCATTACAACACCAAGGCCTTGACAAGTTCCCACATAACATCATTACAACATCTGGACCTTGACAAGTTCCCACAAAACACCATTACAACATCTGGACCTTGACAAATTCCAACACAACACCATTACAATATATAGACCTTGACAAGTTCCCACATAACACCATTACAACATCTCGACTTTGACAAGTGAGGTCTTTATTCTACCATATCAGTACTACCTTAACTACAACTTGGATCATGTGAGGTCTTCATTCTACAATATCAGTGCTACCTTCACTACAACTTGGTTCATGTGAGGTCTTCATTCTACCATATCAGTTCTACCTTCACTACAACTTGGATCATGTGAGGTCTTCATTCTACCATATCAGTACTGCGTTCACTACAACTTGGATCATGTGAGGTCTTCATTCTACCATAGCAGTACTACCTTCACTACAATTTGGATCATGTGAGGTCTTCATTCTACCATATCAGAACTAACTTCACTACAACTTGGGCCATGTGAGGTCTTCATTCTACCATATCCGTGCCACCTTGACTAGAACTTGGGTCATGCGAGGTCTTCATTCTACCATAGCAGTTCTACCTTTATTCCAAAATGGATCATGTGAGGTCTTCATTCTACCATAGTAGTACTACCTTCACTCCAAAATGGATCATGTGAGGTCTTCATTCTACCATAGAAGTTCTACCTTCACTCCAAAATGGATCATGTGAGGTCTTCTTTCTACCATAGTAGTACTACCTTCACTCCAAAATGGATCATGTGAGGTCTTCATTCTACCATAGTAGTACTACCTTCACTCCAAAATGGATCATGTGAGGTCTTCATTCTACCATAGTAGTACTACCTTCACTCCAACATGGATCATGTTAGGTCTTCATTCTACCATAGTAGTACTACCTTCACTCCAACATGGATCATGTGAGGTCTTCATTCTACCATAGCAGTACTACCTTCACTACAACTTGGATCATGTGAGGTCTTCATTCTACCATATCATTGCTACCTTCACTACAACTTTGGTCATGTGAGGTCTTCATTCTACCATATCATTGCTACCTTCACAATAACTTGGATCATAATAGGTCTTCATTCTATCATATCAGTACTACCTTCACTACAACTTTGGTCATGTGAGGTCTTCATTCTACCATATCATTGCTACCTTCACTACAACTTTGGTCATGTGAGGTCTTCATTCTACCATATCATTGCTACCTTCACAATAACTTGGATCATAATAGGTCTTCATTCTATCATATCAGTACTACCTTCACTCTAACATGGATCATGTGAGGTCTTCATTCTACCATAACAGTACTACCTTCACTACAACTTTGGTCATGTGAGGTCTTCATTCTACCATATCATTGCTACCTTCACAATAACTTTGGTCATGTGAGGTCTTCATTCTACCATATCATTGCTACCTTCACAATAACTTGGATCATAATAGGTCTTCATTCTATCATATCAGTACTACCTTCACTAGAACTTGGATCATGTGAGGTCTTCATTCTACCATATCATTGCTACCTTCACTACAACTTTGGTCATGTGAGGTCTTCATTCTACCATATCATTGCTACCTTCACAATAACTTGGATCATAATAGGTCTTCATTCTATCATATCAGTACTACCTTCACTCTAACATGGATCATGTGAGGTCTTCATTCTACCATAACAGTACTACCTTCACTACAACTTTGGTCATGTGAGGTCTTCATTCTACCATATCATTGCTACCTTCACAATAACTTTGGTCATGTGAGGTCTTCATTCTACCATATCATTGCTACCTTCACAATAACTTGGATCATAATAGGTCTTCATTCTATCATATCAGTACTACCTTCACTACAACTTTGGTCATGTGAGGTCTTCATTCTACCATATCATTGCTACCTTCACTACAACTTTGGTCATGTGAGGTCTTCATTCTACCATATCATTGCTACCTTCACAATAACTTGGATCATAATAGGTCTTCATTCTATCATATCAGTACTACCTTCACTAGAACTTGGATCATGTGAGGTCCATTCTACCATAGCAGTACTACCTTCACTACAACTTGGACCGTGTGAGGTCCATTCTACCATATCAGTCCTACTTTCACTACAATTTGGATCATATGAGGTCTTCATTCTACGATAGCAGTACTACCTTCACTCTAACATGGATCATGTGAGGTCTTCATTCTACCATATCAGTGCTACCTTCACTACAACTTGGTTCATGTGAGGTCTTCATTCTACCATATCATTACTACCTTCACTACAACTTGAATCATGTGAGGTCCATTCTACCATAGCAGTACTACCTTTACTTCAACTTGGATCACGTGAGGTCTTCATTCTACCATATCACTTCTATATTACCCCCCAAAAGGCCATGTGTAAACGGTTCCTCTGTTCGGTGTTTTATTACATGACACAAGAGAGCATCTTACTGAACGGTCATCGTCAGTTTAATTCGATCAAGCAAGCAGGTAGCATACAAGGTAATGCAAACATAACAACAGCTTATCAAAAGACTACATAATCATACTCGATTTATGCTTCTGTTTGTTTGATCACGAAATAAATATGATCAATACTATAGCCGGGGTTGGAATTTCATATGTTATCTTTCAAAAGATATCTTGTGGACGAGAAATGCATCGAATACGGTATATGTCCCCATATGTATTGATATACTTATAATACTTAGTAAGGCTAAATTCTTTACATAAATATTTCCCTAAAACAGCAAATACAACTATCTTTCGGAATAACTTCTAGATAATACAGACATTATCCACGCACAAGAAATTCTTATCTTTATCTGAAACCCTACCGTGACAATTTCATTAACTTTAAAGTTAACCTATCATGTTATTGCCTCTGGAGCAATGAAGCCAGGAAGAATACGGGTAGTACTTCTAGTACCACTTGCTGGTGACATTACGCAGGGAAATGCCTCGAAAGAGAATTAAAAAAGTAATAAGAAAGTAACACGTTGAACAATGGTAATTACTGTACTTAAAGCTATACCTAACAAGCGTTTATACGTCCTCATAGACGTACAAGTAATATCGCGGATTCTATACACCAAGGAAACAACGACATTTACATATTGACAAATTCATGCATGTCCTTTCTATTTCCGTAACAACTATAAATTTACATTTTAAATTATTATACTTGGTTTCGGGAATAGTACTCGTCCTTGAAAACGAATGCTCACCAGAAATGAATAATTTCAAAGAACTAAAATGAAGTAGAAGTACTTTTCACCCACCTGCAATCACGACAAGTCCTAGTTCCAGCTTCATGATTGTTCCGCACGGCGGCGGGATGCGCGGGTGACCGGTCTTTTATTATCTGAAACTAGTCACGTGGTAGTCTGACAGTCCTGTGCAGACGCATGTGCCCAAATCACGTGTTATTGCTTCCATGGTGATACTTTGTCCACACAAATGAGTCTTTACTTCAACCCTTAACACAAGCATCTGTCTTGGAATTGAGCAACTATGCTATCACAAAACCCAATGATTTATTCACGTAAATAATATTATCTTCAGAATAATGACAATATTATATGATACTTGAACACCGTAAAGCCGTCTAATTTCTTCAAAACGATATGAATTAAATAAACACCTTCTTCCCACAGGGGGGGGGGGGGGAGGGGGGGGGTCACTTATTTTGTTGTTTGCATGTTTCCTTCCCGTAGGTTAAAAACTCAATTGAAAACATTCTTCTTACCGAGAATAAAGGAGTAATTATAGAAGTTTTACAGGCGACGTGTTCAACTATGTGTTCATAGATATAATCTTAATGACAAGCTCCAAAACAACTGTTAATTACTGAGCCACCAAAACAGGGATGTAAGAGAATTAAATATTGATTGTATTCGTCTCTGATTTTCTGTGACACATGTATGGGATAAAAATAGCGAGTCATCTATCCTAGATACAAAGAAATGTTAAACAATATAAACAGTTTTATGTTGTTCTAAAACAGATGAGACCGCCTCCGTCGTCTAAGATACATTCATCACGATGACATTCGTGTGACAATCGACGTGATGTACACAGATACTATTCTACTGACAATAATGTACGTCGACGTGGTATCGCTTAAAATTTCAATAGCAAGATGTTTTTAAATGACTTATATTCAATTACGATGTATGTTTGGTCCGATGCACACATTATGTCTTTGCTAACAATTCAACAGTAGCGTGTTACAACCAGAGCAGGCTAACAGAAACTGGTACTGGTCCTGCACATACTCAGCATTTACACACACAACATAATTTTCTGCCCCATGGATTTTCTCCCAGTTTCAACACATAGCTGTTGGCACAAATAAGTGCAACTTTACATATATTGACAAGGATATAGCTATGTATCAAATGCTGCCTTGACTAGAGAACACGTTACAGATGAACTACCCTTTTCCAGAAGACTATGGCCCTCGTGTTCATGACTAATTTCCAGACGAGACAAAAAAGATTGATGATGACTAATACACTAGCATTCCCCAAAAGAGCCCAACCCCAAGCTGAATAATAAAAATTTACATCTTGAGACCCAATTAATTTGATTTGGGCATCATATAATAACATTTATTGGGATTGCGATAATCGGACATACTCAATACCCTAATCGAATAACCAACAACTCTTTTAAGCATAAAGATATAAAGGATTGCGACCAGCTCGAGTCATGCTGCTAGTGTTAGCAAGTCAACACCAAGCAACACAGTTCGATGTGACTATGGTCCTTATCCTCAATATGTGTTGGTTGCTCTATAAAGTTATGTCATACCTCTTTCAGATGCTCAACCCAAAACAAGTATCGGGTGTTCGGTTTTCCGCAAGACAGCAAACATGTACACCCGTTACGTTAAACTGATTATTATTGATTCTTAAAGTGTAGAAATTCACTTGAAGAGTTTCTTGTGCTCGTGGCTTGTCACCGTTCATAGGCTTCCGTCTTTTAAAGAAATCTTTGTTTATAGTGATTACGATAATTGTATGTATGCGTTGTGTGTGTATGTTTTGCATCACGCCTCCTTGCTCCAGTACGTTGTGCTCATTGTTATCTATCTGCGCCATATCTTGGACGTAGTTCCACGTTAAGTCGGGCCTGGCTACATGGCCATCAGGTTTCACGGTTATTCTTATTGTTCATCCCTGGTGATTCAAATGGTTCATGTTGCGATGTCATATATTAATCGCCTATAAAAGGCACTAATGAGTTGTTTCCAGTATGAGCAAGAAGATGTGGTGGAGTGGATACAAGCAACCGGTGTCATTGTCAATTCAGTTATTCAGTTATTCTTTATTCTCAAGACACCATCGGTGGTACAAGAGCATACAGTTATAACACTTATAAAGCAATACATAACATGATCACAATGGCGGTTAGTATTACATTTAGTTCTGATAGTGCGATGTTTAATTACAATACATCTGAAGAGGTGTTTATCATGGAAACATTCTAGTACACAACAGTTTTTTTTCTTTATGAAGGTAAGGACATTTATAATAATAAGATGCAATATATCTATATCTTCAAAGGTGTTGATAAGACAATGGGTCACAGAGAGGGTATACCGTTTATGTGGTACACCAATCTGACAGCCAGTATCTGCAGAAAGATACTGAGTAGATGTTCGAATCAAAGCAAAAGCTATCCCTCAAAAGAGGGTATGTTTTAAGGACATATTAGTATAAATCTTTTGAACTATTGTCAATGTCTCTATAGAAAGAGCCATTAAATAAGCCATTGGCATTCACAATTTGGCGCATTGTTTATAGCACATGTTAAGCCACAGTTTTCAAGGATTCTTTGAATGAATATCAACCAATTATTATGAATAGAATGAAAATCAGAGTGAGTGAGTGAGTGAGTTTGATTTTACGCCACTTTTAACAATATTCCAGCAATATCACGGCGGGGGACTCCAGAAATGGGCTTCACACATTGTACCCATGTCGGGAATCGAACCCGGGTCTTCGGCGTGACGAGCGAACGCTTTAACCACCAGGCTACCCGACCGCCCCTGAAAATCAGAGTTTAATGTTACATAGGGGTATATCAGTTTGCACAATTGGATATGTATGTAACACTGAATGCTTTCAACAATCACAATATCGGTAATTCAACAGACTCTTACCTGTAAAAAGTTATAGCAGTGAATATAGTCAAAAGGCACTGCAAAACTGCAACACGTTGTTATTGTGTCTTGGATCAAGTAAGCTATACCGACCACACTCGATTACGTTGTTGTTTGATATTTGTTAAATAAGCAGTTATTATAGTTGAGGTGACATGGGGTTTATCGTCGCGTTCAAGGTCACTGCAGTTATAGAGCGAGTCTGTGGCCGCTTGTTCTAGTCCGGACTAATGTCGGTTTTATAGTGCTAGCCTGCTGAGATACAATACCGCAGTGGATACCCCACTCAGACACAGTACAAGCCAAGCCGAACAGTCCTTGTGTTAGCCCCTTAATGTTGAACGCCAGGCGGTTATAAAAAATGCTACATATAAACGCCTTTTTGTATGACAAGTTATGTCAGACAACCCGTTAAGGATTGATTATAAAGTAGTTTGTAATCGGCATTGTGTTTCAGATGTTCTTTACTAAGACCAAAATATATCCGCAGTATCATTGAAAGGCCATCCATGTCTAGACGGACAGAGACATTCTGCAGCAATCAATGAATTTATCACAGTATCTATTGAACACATCTTCATAACCACCTTTCAATGATCGGCCAATTGACCAATGATGAATAACACATGTAATCGCCACAAGGCCATTAACAAGGTCGGAGATCTCTCACTGCTTTAACGTCAGATTCATTAAATGTGATTGATATAAAGCAAGCAGCCTGTTCAATATCAACCCCTTTGTTTCCTTAACCATCGAGGATTCGTGTTACTTTTGGTTTTACTGATACAACGACATTGTGATTTGTTATAGATAATCCTCATGCGTTTGGTTATTGTATGGTCTAACATAACCACTTGCATGTCTGTGTTTCGTTTATTTGCGATTACATTACGGCCTCGGAACAAGGCAGGCGGAAGGATTCTTCCAACTGCCAAAGGGTCGTCACTCTTACAAGTTTACGAAAACTGAAACAATTTGTAAGAGATGACCACAAATAATGAATCTGGGTAACAATAAATATAACCTACTCGACACAGGCAATTACGGATTTTTTTCCCTCTGGAAATTAACGTTAAATGTACTCGGGCTCGGGACTGTGAACGATATTTTCACTCGGGACATAACCAGTAATTCCTCGTAGCTGGTAAGTTACTCTCTAAATAAGTTATAATTATAGTTGAGCCTGGACATTAAAATATATTGGCAAACGAACGCCGGAAAAGCGCCCCTGCTCTATGCAACATGTATGGGATGGTTAAAATCTACTTTAAGTCCCTGGAAAGTGATCTGTTATTTCCAAAACAATCAATATCAATAGGTATATTTATAAAACAGAGGCTACGCTGTTATAGTACTGTCAGGGATCATAGGGGAACACGATCTGAGTAGATCAAATCACAGAAGATGGATAGACTTCGCTATCGACGTGGCAAAGCTACGAACCGTCATTTGTGTCATACACAGCGAAAACGTAATGAGACACTACAAATATGCCGTCGTGATGTGCTACGAGATGGTCGCGGAGACGGATTTTAGTGTTTGCTAATGGCACATCAACAAGTATCCATACAAGTGTCGTGAACAAAGTTATCAGCTATTTTTCATTTTATATTTTCTTTGTAAATTCCAAATATTCGACGAATAAGACAAATCTTTGATTTATTTCTAAATTGATATAACACATATAACAAAACTAAAACTATTTTATTGTTCCCTCTTTTGTATTTCCGGAAGCATGTCTTTGTGGGTTATTTATAGTTCTAAGTCGTGTTGCAATGAGTTCTAACCTTCATAATGACTGGGTATATGGATGTTAAACATCTACTTGGCCACGAGTATATTATCCTCCGTTAATACATTTCCTGTTTGTTTAGATTTATCTATTTAAATATTATAACCTAAAAGCCGTATGAGGTCCGTCTGTAGCTGAAATATACACTAGTCTGAACTAAACACCAGTATAATTAATATATCTTTAGTTGAACTATTATAATCGAAAAACATCTTTGCAATTTACATGCGAAGTACAAAACTTTTCAATTTTCAGTATTCAAAATGCGCTTATATGACACGAGGGCACAGCTGATACTAATGAAAGGTTCAGGTATCTGACAATACTTCAATGTCCAGACATCTGACACCACTGGAAGGTCCAGAAATCTGACACTACC